CACTTTGATCCTTCATATGCTCCAAAATATAGAATGGTGTAATTTATGCTTTAAGCCCTATGTTTAGCCTTGTACTCATTTTGGTCATTATCTTTGATTTAGTGTTTAAAGTTTGGGGTTTATTGCTTATTTAATCCTTGTTGCTCTATCTCCTTTAGGATCTAATCCCTGCTGATTGTATGATTTGGTTTGTGGTCATTTTCATTTTTACTCTGTATATATGTTGATATATTTATGTATATGTATTTTATATATTATTATTCATCTATTTATGTATATTTTATATACTAATGGTTTATATCTTAATGAATTTCATATTATTTTATTATATATTAGATGTAAAGGTTACAATATATTACAATATGTATATATTTAGTTGATGTTTTATGACTCTTTTATATTTATGTATGTATTTTGTTTTTAAAATCAATATTATGAAGGGTTACGAAATGCTCATTTTACTCGCTAATATTTTAATGTATCTTACTTGTATGCTTTTGAGAATATTGGTAGTAGAATGGGCATGAAAAGCATTACTTTATAGAAGTGGTGTGATTCAAAACGACATTCAAACGAAACGTGAACTCAAAATAAATCAAGTATATTTTAGAAGTAATATTAATTATTTGTTTCTTTGATTCTAACTTCTACATTTACTATATGTGTTACTTTAAATAGTAAATTATTTTATGTAATTTCTAGTATATTTTTATTTTATTCGATTATTACTTTTGATAAATCAAGGAGGAATACTCTTTTGCAGACAAGAAATAGAAGATATAGCATTCCCATTGGAGGATGTGCGAATCTTGATATTTATTTTTAAATGAAAGCATTTTTCTTAATAAATAATTCAAAATAAATTAATATTCAATAAATGGATCGTAATTTAATTTTTATATTCAAATTTATAATTTCTACCATTTACGACAATGTGTAAGCGATTAGGTACCATATTTGGATGCTATAGGGGTGATAATCCTTCCCCGTGCGTAATCGACTCTCGAATCTTTCAAAATAAATCTCTGATAATGCATACCAATTTTTGTCTTAAAATCATTTTTTTGTAAAATTATTTTAAAAGATGTTTTTAAGTATTCGACCTACCTAACCCAAAGGTCGATGTCGACTCCTATTCAATTTAATTCAAAAATCCCAATTTTTGAATAAAGTTATAATTTTTTTTTAAATATAAAAATTTTCAAAAATGGTTATGACATACTCAATTCAATACTTTAACCTTTAAAACTTGCAATTTCATTCTCTATTTCATTAGACTTTTTAATTCAACCACTAACATTAATAATCTTGCAATTTGATTCCAAATCCAATATTTAAACTTAAAAATCAGCATGCTGATATAAATTTCCAGCATTGAAATTTTATACTAAAGTAATACCATCACATTTGAAAATTCAAAATTAAGTCCCAACTTTTGAGACTATTCAAACTCCATCATCAAATATATCTAAATTTGCACTTTGATCCTAAATTACTTATTTAACTTAAATACAACAGTTCAAATATTAAAATTCAACATTCAACAATCCAGATTGTCACAATTATGCAATAATATTCTACAATTCTTAAAACTTATAAATTAGCCCTTTTACTATCTCAAAGTTTTAAATTGATCCAAATTGATCTCCAAATCATATAAAACACTTCTAATATCAATTCTAGACCATAGGATATTTTCAACATTTTCCCCAATTTATTCCCTATGGTTGAATATAATTAGTATACTAGTACTTGATTTTTATTCAATTTCAAGCATTAATTCAATCTCCTATTATTCATGCAATTTCAATCATCATAACATCAAATTAAATCAAATTTCAACCAATTTCTATAAACCCTAACTTGACCAAATTGATTATACGCATTTCTACTTGATTTTAATCATCACAAAGGCTTGGAAATTAATCTACAACACTAATAACATAAAAATCATCCTTTAATTCTTCAAAATCAAACATGTTCTTCATGAACCCTAATCATGAACATCGTCATCCAAACATTTTTCCATGAACTATTTTTACCAAATGATAGATGATGTCAAGTAGATTAATTCTCTATCTAATAGCTTAATCCAAAATTAATCGAATAAGCTTAAAAATGAAATCAAAATTTTTTTACCTAGCTATGGTGGGTCACGTTTTGGGGCTGGAAGATGCTGCAAATTTCTTATTTTTCTTTAATTAATATCATATTACACTTGGCTTTATCTAATATAAATGAATTTAAAGTTCAATTAATGTGAAATTATCATTTTGCCCTTAATGAAACATGATAATTTCAATTTACCATTTTAATATTCCAAAGTCAAATCTGAACAAATAAAAATCCACTTTCCACCTTTTCCCTTGCAATTTTGAAAATTACAATTTAGTCACTAAAATTCACAATTTTGGATTAACATGGAAAATCACTAATCCATGTTAAATTTCAGTATTCTAAATTATGGAAGTAATATTTCCAACCTTTATTTGGCAGAATAAAATTTTCATGAAATTTTGGTTCGATCCGACTATCCAATTTCTATACTAAACTTTATCGATTTATAGCTTTTAACACAAATCCCGTAACGAAAATCTGATTACCATGAAAATTCTTGTTTTAGGCCAAACAGTTCATTTACGGGATATAATATATATTTTTTTAAAATTACATTTTTGGTCTCTAAACTTTTACAAAATTTATACTTTAACCATAAAACTTTTAGAACTTATATTTTAGTCACTACCCAAATTTTGAGGTATTACAATTTTAACATTAAAATATTAAATTATGATTTCACACTATTATTAGATTTATAATAAAGAAATAGAATTTTAAATTTTAAATAAACAAAATTTCACTGGTTTTGAATAACAAAGGTTTAATAAGAAAGATGCGAAATCTTTGACTCATATATGGGTACATATATGGGTTAAGGATGTTACAAAAACACATTCATTTGATGAAAACCTTTAGTCAACTGACAGTGAATGCTTGGAGTTGACTAAGCAAGAACAGTTATAGGGAGATGATGAATGCTTAATATTGACACTTTTTACTTGTTAATTCTCTTGCTTTATGAATTTTTCACTACTGATTTGGATGTGTTTCGTTTATTTTCTGTGCAGTGACTTGTTTACTGGAATTGGCATTAAAAGGGCACATTTTGCAACTTTTTATTTTATTTTCTGATAAGAGTTGGGGACATGGCACGACGCTGGTTTGACGTGACAGTTTCTAGAATGTCCAAGTCAACGCGAGGAATGTTCTATAGACAACTCAGTCAGCACAATCTGTGGAGGCTTTTTAGAAAATTTGGATTTTAATTTTCAAACTTAATGAATTATCTTTTAATTTGTTTTACTTTCCATGTACCTTAGGAATTTAGAAGCCTATAAATACCCTCTCTTGGGTAAGGCTTTGACATCATGGTTTTTCATCTTTAGTTTTGCGTTGTTACTTTGTATTAATAAAAAAAAATTATATTTCTTTCATTTTTTAATTTTTTACTTTACACTTTTCAAGTGTGTTCATCAAAATATGCTAGGTATGATCAATCATATCATGCTTCGTTAATTTCTTTTAAGCCGAGAGCTAGTAATGAATCAATTCCATGCGTGATAATTGAACAGTACTTAATTTCATTCAGGGCAAATTCTCGTTTTCCTAGTTTATTAGTTTAGCAATCGACCTTACAAATTTTAAACACCTTCAAATCCAAAAGAGCTCGTTGGTATAGATGTTGTTTAAATAAATAGTTAGGAGGAATGATCGGTCTATGGCAATTCGACTCCTTATGAACACACTTAGAGGAGGTCCACTAAGGAAAAACAAGATTGGATTCAATTCTTGCTGAGATAACGTAATCCAAGTTAGGCCTTTCATGTTTTTAATTTGATTATTTTAATGACAATAGTTGTGGTTAATCCACTTAAGAATCGTCTTTTGAAGATAGGCTCGGGAAGATCGATTACATGAGAGAAGCGCAAGTTACAATGAGTTGGGTCTTGTAGACTGTAAATGATATGAATCCCGGAGCAAAAATCTATTTCAATGATCAGTGAAATTGAAACAAAGCTAGCTCGAGGTAATTTTTCTCATTATTATTTTTCAATATTATTTTCATCTTCTTCTGACTTACTGTTTCTTCTTAACTTTATTTAATTTACTTTTGTCTTGTTTTATTTATTTCGTCTCAATCTCACCTACCCCTTTTACGTTTACTTTTTTTTACATCTTCCTGGTTTGAAATCGACATACGTTTGTGTCAAAAATTCCAATTTCCCTATGGATCAACCCTCTTTATTATACTACTTGTTTATTTTATTTGAAGAGGATTATTTTATTTTTGACGAGTAAAATGATTCTTGTCAAAATTAGTGTCGTTACAGGGGAATATCGGCAAATTACTGATCAAATTTTTGTTTTGGTTTTATTACTAGGAGCAATCTAGGAAATCTTGTAGAAATTGACCGGAAGATTGAAGCAAATGCTCGTAGAACTCACGGCCAGACTATTTGAAATAAGAAACCACAACGTGAATAATGCCAGAAACCAAATCTGGAATCCACTTTCGAGACGCCATCACATACTCAATCCTACAAAGAATCAACTCTCGATGTTGATCCAACTATATCTATCGCTGATCCCACGCCTGAAGCAGAACAAATGGCAAATCAAACGATTAGGGAACTAGTTACAGCTCTTACCGTTCAATAACCACTTTGTATCACCTTTCCTAATGGTGAAACCCCTTTTCAACTCAAGATGAGATTAATTCATCTCCTCCCTACCTATAACGGTCATCGTTGTGAGAGTCCACATAAACACCTCGCCCAATTTCACATGGTGTGCAGTAGTATGAAGCCTCAGGAAGTTTATGAGGATCAAATCAAACTAAGGGCATTTCCTTTTTTCTTAGTCAAAATAACAAATGAGTGGTTATTTTATCTTCCGCCTAATTCAATTAATACCTGGGTTTCCCAACGGTGAAAGCAAGCGAACTTAGGCGAAGCATTTTGGGAATCTAGCAAAGAGATGGCGAAACTCTCTATGAATATTGGGAGAGGTTAAAGAAATTATGTTCCAGTTGTCCGCAACATGGCTTATCCGAGCATACTCTCCTTCAATACCTTTATGAAAGAATGCTTATAGTTGAAAGAAAAATGGTGGACGGCGCTAGTGGCGGCGCTCTCAAAACATGACACCGAAAGCTGCTAAAATTTAATTTTTATTATGGTTGCGAGCTCACAACAATTCGGATCATCATGTGAACCCAACAGATGAGTTCACGAAGTAAGTACAATTTCAATTGAGAATAAATTAGACAAATTGATGACATCGTCAATTCGCTTGTTACATATAAAATTGGAGTCACGAAGGTCTGTGGAGTTTGCACTATATTGGAATTCATGCCCATTGTTACAAGATGAATCTGACGTACAACTCAATGTCGTAAACAACTTTTCAGGACTTCCTTAAAGGCCTTATAGTCCATACAATAATACTTTCAATCTCAGTTGAAGAGATTTACCAACCAAAGAAATCTGATTTACCAACCAAGACCACCTCCTTTTCCTATTCTAGCGCCACCAAAAACTTCTCTTGAAGCCATTGTCGAGAAGTTGGCCATATCACAAGAAAATTTCCAAACAAAAACTCAAACCCATTTGGCTCAAAGACAATCCCATCTTCAGGAAATTAATAAGCAGATAAGCTAGTTAGCCCAAATAGTTGGTCTCTTAAAATCTCAAGGCTGATTACCCTTACAAACCAAAATAATTTCGAGGGAAAATGTAAGTTCAATTACTCTTCGAAGCGGTATTATCATATCGCCTAAATCGACGAATGAAACCAAAAAAGAATTCGACAAGAAAAGAAAACGCGCATAATCAAAGAAATAAGAAGAAGAATCTTCTCCTCCACCCATTTTAGGTAAACTCGTTCCCTCTTATTCTTTTTCTTCTACTCATGAAAGTCCATCAATTTTTCCTGGTACACTTATGGAACGTGAGAAGAAAAAGGAAGAGAAAGAAATTCTCGATGTTTTTAGGAATATGGAGATAAACATCCCCTTTCTTGACACGATTTGAAAGATCTCGAAGTATGCGAGATTTCTTAAAGACCTCTACACAAACGAAGGCGATTAATTGGGAATGAAAAGGTGAATCTTAGGGAAAATATTCGGTAATTTCTCAGAGAAGGCTTCCGCTGAAATATAAAGATCAAGGAATGTTTTCCATACCATGTAAGATCGATAACGCCGGAATCAAGAGAGCAATGTGTGACTTAGGCGCATCCATCAACGTGATGCCACTTTCTGTCTACGACAAGATTTCAAGTGAAAATTTGAAGAAAACGAGGGTCACGGTACAACCCACCGATCGATCATCTACCCCAAAGGAGTTTTAGAAAATGTTTCAGTGAAGGTAAATAATCTAATATTCCCTGCTGACTTTTATATAATTGATATGGAAAATGATCGAAGTAATATCGAATCCTACTTGGGCGACCTTTCTTGTCCACGGCGCACACAAAAATTGATGTTCGCAGTGGCATCTTAACTATGGAGTTCAATGGAGAAGTCATCAAGTTTGACGTATATAAGGCCATGAAATACATGGATAATGTGGAAAACTTGAATTTCGTTGATATACTTGATCCATTAGCTACTGAATTTTTGGAAACTAATTTATTTCATGACTTTTGTAGGGAATCAGAAAAAAAGGAGTTCGACGATAGGGAGTTTGATGAAATAATTTCTACTATTTCCTTTTCATCTAATTTATGTTTAGTGTCTTTGATAACTAAATCTCTTCCTTCAATTCTGCAGGCACTGAAACTAGAACACAAGTAGCAGCTATCGCACCTTAAATATGCATTTTTTTGGCGAGGATTGTACCTTACCGGTTATCATTTCAAGCAAACTTTTGAAGGACGAGGATGAAAATTTTAATTTCTATTTTACACAAAAATAAGGAGGTAATTGGATGGACCATAGCCAATATTAAAGGCTTGAGTCCATCCATGTGCATGTGCAAAATTAAGACGGAGGAAGGCACAAAATCGACTAGAGAAGGCCAGTGTCATTTAAACCCGCCAATGATGGAAGTCATGAAGGACGAAATCCATAAATTACTTGATGCTAATATTATTTACCCCATCTCCGATAGCAACTGTGTAAGTCTGGTCTAAGTCGTTCCAAAGAAAGCCGAAGTTATGGTGGTCAAAAATTCAAAATGAAAGATGGTTCTGACAAGAGTACAAAACGTTGGAGAGTTTGTATTGATTACAGAAAGCTTAATTCGCTAATCTGAAAAGACCATTTCCCTTTACCTTCTATTGAACAGATGGTAGAAAGACTGGTGGGAAAATCACATTACAGTTGTCTTGACGATTTTTCTGGATTTTTTCAGATTCTGGTGGCACCCGAGGATCAAGAAAAGATGACATTTACCTTCCCTTTAGGAACATTCACATACCGTAAATGCCCTTCAGACTTTGCAACGCTCCTGCAACATTTCAACGGTACATGTTAAGTATCTTCTCTGATCACATTGAAAGAGGAATCAATGTATTTATGGATGATTTTACTGTCTATGGTAAGTTCTTTTCTCATTGTCTTTCTAACCTTTCTTATATCCTTAAACATTGTTTTAGTTTTAGTTAGTTTTAAATTATGAGAAGTACCATTTCATGGTAAGTAAGGGCTTAATTCTTGAGCATATGGTTTCATCTAAGGGAATCCTCGTTGATAAGGCAAAAACTGACGTAATTCGCTCACTTTCATACCCCACTTCGGTGAGGAGATTCAATCTTTCCTTGGTTATGCGGGTTCCTATCGGCGTTTCATAAAAGATTTTTCCAAGATGGTGCAACCATTGTGTAGATTGCTGTAAAAGGATGTGGAGTTCGATTTTGATCCAGAATGCAAAAAAATCATTTGATATCCTCAAAGAGAAGCCCATAACTGTGTCAATTGTGCAACCATCATATTGGAATTTTCCATTCGAAATCATATGTGATGCGTCCGATTTGAGTGTCGGTGTTGTTCTTCACCAAAGAAATGGAAAAGAACCACAGTCATCATCTATGTATTGAGAACTCTTGACTCGGCTCAAAATAACTATTCGACCATAGAAAAATAACTATTTGCCATTGTTTTTGCATTTGAAAATTTTCGTTCTTATTTACTTGGCACTAAGTTTTACGTTTTTCTGATCATTCAGCGCTTAAGTACTTGAAGAACAAGAAGGAAGAGAAACCGAGGTTAATTCACTGGATTCTCTAGCTCCAAGAATTCGATCTTGAAATTAAAGACAAAAAAGGGGGAGCAAGAACTTGGTGACTGATTATTTCAGCCAATTTCCAGCATCTATAGTCGAGTCGACCATCTGTTAACAATTTTCGGACGAGAGCTTAATTGATGCACGCGCTTCATTTCCTTGGTCAGCCGATATGGCAAATTTATTAGCAACAGGTAAGCTGTCAATTAATTTACCAAAATCTGAGATTAAAAGAATTAAACGGGAGTCTCGCTTATACATTTGGGATAACATGTATCTCTTGAAACATTGTTCGGATCAAATTATTAGACACTGTGTCAGCGAAAGTGAGGTAAATTCGATACTTTCTTTTTGTTACTCTTACTCTTGTGGAAGTCATTTCGGGCTTAAACAAACTGCTCACAAAATTCTTGAGTGTGGATTTTTTGTTCAAATTTATTTAGAGATGCTTACGTTTTTTGTAAAGCAAGTGACAGATGCCAACGTGTTGGCAATTTGAGCCGAATGAGTGAAATGTCGTTCAATCCAATCCATGTTTATGAAATCTATTACTTTTGGGGACTCAACTACATGGGCCCTTCACCTCATCCTTTAGGTAGAGGTGAAAGCTACCCGGAACAATGATGCAACAACAATGACTGACTTTCTTCGTAATTTTATTTTTTCAAGGTTTGGCACTCCGAGAGTAATGATATGTGATAGAGGAACACATTTTATCAACCCAATCATTGAGACGTTAATGAAAAAAATATGGTGTGACTCAAGGGATTGCAACAGTTTATTATCCGCAAACAAACGGACAAGAGGATGTGTCGAATTGAGAGATTAAATCCATCCTTGAAAAAATCATCAAACCAAACCGGAATGATTGGAGCTTGAAGTTAGTCCACTCTTTATGGGCTTACCACACGACTTATAAAGGACCTATCAGGATATCACCCTATCGACTAGTTTTCGGCATGTCTTGCCACTTACCGGTTGAGCTTGAGCACAAAGCGTATTGGGTCGTGAAGGAATACATGGAAATAGATGCAGTGGGTGAAGCGCGAAAATTGTGCATCCAAGAGCTCAAAAAATCTGCAGGAACATTTATGATAGAGCACAAATCTTTAAAGAAAAATAAAAGCGTTTCATGACCAAAAAATTTCATTTAAGTCTTTTTCGATTGGACAAAAAGTTCTCTTGTTTAATTAAAAGTTCAAAATTTTTGCAGGAAAGCTTAAGTCAAAATGGTCGGACCCTTGATTGTAACCAACATGAATCTCAAAGTAAAAATCCATTTCAATAATCGATGTAATTGAAACAAAGCTAGCTCGAGGCGATTTTTCTTATTATTATTTTTCAACTTTATTTTCATCTTCTTCTGATTTACTGTTTCTTATTAACTTTATTTAATTTACTTTTGTCTTGTTTTATTTATTTCATCTCAATCTCACCTACCCTTTTTACGTTTACTTTTGTTACAGTTTCCTAGTTTGAAATCGACATATGTTTATGTTAGAAATTCCAATTTTCCTGTGGATCGACCCTATTTACCATACTACTTATTTATTTTATTTGAAGAGGATTATTTTATTTTTGACGAGTAAGATAATGATTGTCAAGAAATACTGATGTTGTGTGTCCATGTCATAGTAGATGATGACATGGCATTGCTACGTCAAATTTTTTAGAAATATTGGTGTTGATTTAAGGGAAATATTAAAATGCTTTTGTGGGAAAGAGGAATCGAACTTATGTAAAAGACGTGGAATGGGTGGCTCATGCCACTAAACAAGTTACTTTATTATATAATGAAACAAACTTTATTAAATATTTAATT